AATATAGGCTCGGCGATTCTAACAGGCATTGTGCTTTCCACTTCCATAGATTGTACGTTGAATGTGTACAATTTTGAATTTTCTACATAAAATTTTAGTTTGTTTCGTAAAATGTATAAATTTTTCATCATGTTATGTTTTTTTTTTCTGTTAATTAATTGCTTTAAGATTTACCAATGATATCTTTAATGTATTAAGTTTATTATTACTGTCACTATTTTCTATCAATTTAAATGAAAAAGTGAGCATTATTTTGTAACAGTATACTCGTCTGATCAAGAATATTATTTTATCATGAAAATATTTAGTAACAACTTATGCACTTTCAAAGTGTTTTAACTAGCTTTTAGAACAGTTATTACCTATATTGACATAAGTGATAGATCTATAAAATCAATAAATAGCAGGCCGTTTCATAATCGTGACCCCGCTATATCAATGATCCATAGATCTTTACATAGCGATTGTTAAACGCAATAAGATTGTGAAGTTCCATATTTCATAGGTCATACTATTGTCTGCCTTCGTAATCTACATTTTGATATAATGATAGGTAATATTTCTAAGTTTAATCACTAATTTAAAATGACTCAGTGTCATTTTGCTGGTGCCCATTTAAAGTCATCATCTTCAGCCTATTAACGTCCATCCTATGATTAGAATACAAGGAGAAAAAATCATGACCTACAACGGGAGTCATGTTCGGATTGGTGGATAGTAACGACTGCACACGCATTCGGGACCAATGTCAGATATGTGAATGTCTGTGCCTCAATTTTAATGGCCTGATGATAAACCAGAAGATCAATTGAGATAAATTCATTTATTAACTACTGACTATTAGAATATTCGTTTTCTGAAATTCTTCTTAAAATTAAAAATAAAATATTTTGTATATGTGAAAGAACACTTCACAGCACACAGTTATATTATTTGTTTTCAAATATCATATGTCAATTAATTCTTATAACTTTTTGCATTTTATTATGTGACAAAGTGGATTTTTAAGAATTATTCGTTAAGAGTATTTTTGCACTTTGTTCGCTTAAAAGTTCAGAAAACCGCAATTTTTATAACATCGGTACCAGCCACTTAAATCTTCATGAAGTGTGATTTGACAGGTTTTCCTTAGTTATTATTCGTAATGATTCAGCGATATTTCTTATTTTTTAATGTCATAGAGATGTGAACCTTATAGAAATTTATATAGTTATTTATTTACAATCGAATGTAAATTGATTTTAATAGGCGTACTTGTTATTGATTATTAATTTTATTTTATAAAATGTATATAATAAATTACTATTTTTGATGCGACGTGGATTTAGGTAGGTGATAAATATACTTCTAGAAATTCTATCTATAAGTGAAAATCTTATCAAAATCTTTGGCATGGTTTAGAGTCTGTTAAAAGTGAAACAGATTACATGTAATTACTTTTATTTGTATTGCTGTGACTTAACTTTGCTTAAATCTTTATATCGATAGGTATTAAATCAAATTAGCTATCTAATTGATATCTAATTAAAAACTATATTTCACGTCCTTGGAATAACAAAAAAAAACTCATTTATATGTTTTGAACTAGAAATAATAATTTTAATAATATATTAATTTATTACCTTGTAAACACAAAATAAATTTTATCTAAGTAATCTTAATTTTTGCTTTTAAATTTAATAACAAACATATTAAATGAGTGAATTATTATGAATACTCAATACGTGGTGAGAAATTAGCTTTGTCGATGTAAATTTTACCAAAATAAATTTTAATAAAAAAAACTTATCTGTTTATATATAGCTCTGTGGTTTCCACTTGACCTAAAGATAACTGTAAGTACTCTTTGATAAAGATTAAAAAAAAGATAAGTACTTCAAAATATTCGTTGGCGTTCAACAATTGCGACAGTTAAAGAGTCTCAACTGTACGTTAAGAGATGGATGGGTGGGCGTGAAAGCTATAAGCATTGGTAACGATTACAAAAATCTTGATGCCCGTATGAGAGAAACAGGTACATATGTGTTTCTTTCTTTTCCCTTGTCATTTCGCAAGAGTTGTAAATGTAAATTATTCATATCTGTCGCTCTGCTTCGACATCATAAAGAGGACACAGGAATAAAAAGTTTGACCTGTTTCTCTCTCTTTGTAACGACAGGTGGTTTGAACTTCTGTCACTAACGTATTTTACTGAATTAGTGTATTGGTTACTACCCTTAGTATCAAGGAAATCATGCTCATCAATATATTTATACTACGTTACATACATTAGATATTATACACATATAACAAAAAAAGAATGCATCATAAACACTTTATTGAGAAATTGGGACTAATTGAGTCGGAAAAGTTGCGATACGAAAATTGTATAATTATACGGGTAAATTTGTAGCGCAAAGTCGTAATCAATAAAATAAATATTATCAAATCAAATAAACTTTACGTTCAAAACAATATGTTAACTAATAATCAATAAATGTGACACTTAAAAATCAAGAATGTGTTTAACAAAATTCCAACAAGGTACTCATAAAAAAAAGAAGTCTAACAAGATTCGAAGTAAAAAAACTAACAGAGAAAAAATCCGTCTCGGTTCACGATACAAAAACGCATGTTGCCTTGTTCTTAGAGAAGTGTATAACATGGAGTTGTTAATACCATCTGAGATCTTTTTTCATTGTGCTTAATAAATATGAAAGTAGGTTTTGAAGTAGGTTCAGTGATGTGATGGCACAGTGCGCGCAGTATTCTATATCTCTTAATTAATTAGAATAGTCCAGAAACCTGTGATTGGCTTTGTGAATAATGATACAGTTTTTGTGTATGAATTGTGACAATAAATAGGTAAATAAAATGTTTTACTGATTGTTAAACAGCAGGTTGATGAAAAAATGTTATTACTGGATTTTTTTTTGTAGAATCTGTTAGTAAATTGACATTGTAATCTTAAAATTAAAATGTACAAATATTCAGAATATTAACTAACAACTAGCTAAACGATATGTAAAGTAATGTTCATAAACTGTCGTAAAGTTGTATATTAAAAACAATTGAAAGATAATAAAATAATATTACTTATGGCTGTAACAGTAAGTTTATTCATTCCCACTCACAAAGAGTTTTGTCGTCTAATCTTATGTTAGTTATTTCACTATTCTTAGTAAGAAATGTAACTTTTTTATTTAAAAAAAAATACTATGCATGGGCGGTGGTTAATACTGCTCTATAGAATCGAGCACGCGACCCAACAAGCCACCTCCGTTTCGTCCAAAAAACAATCATAATATGGGTTCATAATTGAATTATTACTAATAGTGGGTCGGTCGTATTAGCTTTAACATATAATTTTCTCGCTCTTTTACAATAAACACTGCTTTTAAATACTGTTTGTTTACGGCAACAATTACTGTAAGATTTATAATGTTTCGAAAAAGAAATAAAAAGATATTCTGTATGTATTAATCGTTTTTATTATACGGAAGTTTGCTTTTGAAAATTAATGGGCATCTAAAAGCTTTTCGCGAAGTTCCTTAAAAAGGAAAAGGACGATGTTTTCGTTCTTTTGTATTAGATACTCTTTCATCCAGTTGCAAAAACGTCAATTAAAATTTTCGTTAGTTTATAGTATATACATGTTAGTATATAATCTAAGGAGGCACAAACAGTTACATTCTGCAATCAAACACAGCCGTTGTCGTTAGAGGTTTAATTAAATAATCTAAATTCTTTTAATAGATAACACTAATACAAAATTAATTTCTCATATTCATTAAACGTTTCCAGAGATTAAGGCTTTCAAATAAACAATCTCTTCGTTTTTATTATATCAGTATGTATATATAAGAGAGCTATTGTGTAAAGAGGGTATATTTGAATATTTTCAGTTGTAGACGTTTCCGATTTCAGTGACATAAATAATGGAAGAGTTTATTCATATGTATGTGTAATGTATGTGCAGTAAACAAGTAACTATTAATTATTTGCATAAATAACTTCTAAGGTGACTTAACTTAGTCCTAGAATACAATAATAAAGGTAATATAATTCAAAAAGGAACAATATCTTTATTATTTTATTACTAGTGTAACATGCGATCGCAGATCTTGGAAAAGATCTATTTATATATTAATAACGTGTCAGCTAAATTATCATAATATATTAACATAATATCAATTAAGTAACAATTTGTAAATTAATAAAATAATCACTAAATCTAAAAAGATGATATAATGATAAAAAGTCCATCGAAATACTCAAACCTTTTCATTCAAATAACTTTTCTTATCACAAAATTTGATATACACTCTACTTAGTTTTGGCCATTAAAAAGTTACACAACACTACTCTCGCATAAGTAATCATGTGAATTCATACACAGAAACACAATAATCTCTTGTTTGATTGACGTTTGCCGGCTCCTGATTTCTTTATTAAGTTTAATCTGTTAATTACTCTTTATCTTCATCTTAATGCTTGTCTGTCTGTCACTTTGATTTAAGTAATAAGTTTCGTGCTAGAAAACACGTAGAATAAATGTGGTCTTAATATACAACCTTGAGGGACAACATTTGTTTGTTCAGTTTAGCTAGATCTAAATTACCAAAAAATTCATAGAAGATTTAGAAAATAGCACCAAGACCTCTGTAAAGGACTCAGTATATTAAAAAAACTTCAAATGTATATGTTTGGTATGGTATGATTCTTAACAGATCTACCACTGTCATAAGTTCAAAAGGCATATTTACCGTATTTAAAGACCTGATTCTGTCAACGCCTAATTTGTCATTACTTTTCACGATGTCATTCATATTTTGAAAGAGTCGTATATATAGGAAATTAAAAAAAGGGCATTGTGACATCGTTACCTATCCACGGAGAAAATATTTATATGTTAATATAATTTTAATTATAATTTTCAACAAAAAAATATTAAACACTTTTCTATTCCTTGTTACAGAATTCAAAATCATGATGCGAGAGCAGTAAGAAGAGAAAAGAAGATGGATCCGATCCAATCAGATCGCACCAACATAATGTCGAATAATAACGACATCAATAACCGATTACCAACTCTGAAAGATATCGAAAACCCTAATGAGAAGACCGTCCAAAAAAACGAAAAATTGAAAATGGCCTTCAACACCAAAAAACCCAAATACCTTCTACGTGGTAACTTCGGTTACCAGGAAGATTTATCTAGAAGATCTCTTCTAAAGAAAGAATATAGTCTTTATAATTATTGTTTTTTAAGCGTTTTAATTAGCTTTGGTTTTGGACTTGTTATAGGTGTAGCTTTAATGAGCTCAACTCAGCAAGTCACCTCAAATTTCGCACCTAGAAAGTTAGCGAGAACGAATAGTACCAGAGAAATTATCACCCGCAATCTAAATTCTTTGAAAACTGAAAATAATGATAATGAAATTGATTTAAGTATCAAGCTTAAAGAGGAAAAGTTTAAAGCAGTATCATTTACTGGTGCAGAATCTCATAAGTATAGAAAAGATGTGTATCCTAAAGGACTGACGGAAGATATGAAAGATATACTTAAGGATAATAAGGTATCTCATCACAAGCACACCATTACAAGCGTTGTGAATAAGACAAATTTTGTTCCTAATGATAAAACTATACTTTTTAATAATGTGTATTGGGGTCCTGAAGTAGAAGATTATATGCCTCAAGGATATGGCGAAAGTTCAGCGGACGTTTGGGAAAGATATGTTGAACAAAGTGAAGTAGTAAAAATGGAACCGGGTTGTGGACGTATGCAAAACAGATTGGTGACATTTAAAGATGGTATACAAGCGTGCGTAAGGTACAGACAAAACACGGATCAGATTCAAGGAGAAATTTTCAGCTTTTACGTCGGAAAGTTGTTGAATTTGACTAATCTAGCACCATCCGTGGTCAAAGTTGTAGATTTGAAGGATAAACTGTGGAAAAATGTTGCTGCAGATATAGCAACTGCGCAATGGAACACTAACCGTGCTGTTGTACTTACACAGTACATACCAAGTTTAGAATCCGCAACAATACCTGATATATTCAAACCTTCGACAAGACATCTGAACAAATACGATGTACTGAAAATGTCTTTGAAAGAGAACGATACAGCAGAAGCGTCAAAACAACTACTCATAGAGAAGTTAAAAATGAAATCCATGAAACTATCAACGAACGAAGTTGAAAACTTCGATTATATCGATATGGCTTTGAATAGGAAAACTATTGACTCTTTTGTTGAGTTAGCTCAATGGTCTGATCTCATTATATTTGATTATTTGACGGCAAATTTAGACAGGATTGTGAACAATCTTTTTAATTATCAATGGAATATAAATATAATGGATGGACCGGCGCACAATTTAGCTAGAAAGATGGACAGTGGACTGCTTTTATTTTTAGATAACGAATCTGGTTTATTACATGGTTATAGGTTGTTAAAGAAATATAATGTTTACCATAGTTTAATGCTAGATAACCTTTGTGTTTTTAGAAAGAAAACTGTTGATTCACTAAAAAGTCTGTACGAAAATTCGATTGGTGCAAAATTGAGTAACATGTTTCATAAAAGAAACAGTGCTTTAATAAGGGATATATTGCCGCCTTTGCCTGAGAAAAATTCAAAGATATTGCACGAAAGGATTGGCAAAGTTTTAAGTCAAATTGATAAATGTGAACAGACTTATAGATGATTCATTTTAAAAAACATTAGGTTCTGTTTCCAATTAATATTTTAATTCAATGCAACATGAAAAATAGTATTGTGATATTTGCGGTTGCATTTTCGATACCAAATGATTATTATTTATTGTATATAGTGGTTTAATGATTATTTAATATCGTGCCAGTGTATTATTAAAGTGATATTTAATTTTTACTTTTGTAATAAAAATTGTGTATAATATAAAAAATATGTAAATAACGCTTATTACCTTAAACTAAGATATTAAGTAATGGAATTTGTAAAGTATGCGTATATAATTTATATAAAGAAATATTAAAACAAACCTTCATTGTTTCATTTACTTGCTTCATTCATTTCTGAAATTATAACATTATTATAATTTGATTATGAAATTAATCAGGGAAGGGGGACATAATAGATCAAAATTAGACAACATCAAATACATTGCCCAGATCACAAACCAAGTAGCTAAAACAAACGTATTATAAAAATCTGAAACATCGAAAGTGCTATAAAACCCACCCTTAATTCGATTGGGAATGGAATCCGAGACCTTAGAGATTTAGCCATAGAGGAGGAAAATTATATTGAAAAAGTAATTTTTGTAAGTTAATGAGAAAGCCTATGAACTGATAAAAATAACACATGTATTTTTTTATCGGTCCAGCAGTTTTGGAGTTTTTTCGACGCAAACAAGAAACGCACAAACAATCGAATCATAAAAAGAGTTTATTTTATCAACTCATAAGGGTAGGTATAGTTGTAATTTATTGACTGTAAGGTTTTGTTTATTTTACTTTTTACGAACCCCTCCCCCATTATATGGAAAATGTTTTACACACATTTATATAAATGACAAACTTTGGGGCGTATTATCGAAGTCATAGATGAGTAGGTAGTACAAGATTACATCATCATCATGAGTATCTTGTAGTACAAGATTAGACAATTATCGGCGTGGCGGCTCCAACGCGCTGCGCCCGGATGCGTTGCACCCCTTGCACAATGGGTAAAGACGAGCTTGTAACCAATATTCTACTTATTTTTACTAAAATGTGCATATATTCGCTACAAGCAGTTTGAAACGATCCAACAATTTAAAATATTTCTTGAAATCTATACAATGTGTAACATAATTAACGTGTCTTGAAAGTAGCTTGTTTCAAATTAGATACTGATTCGATTTCAACAACTTCTAATTTATGTATTTTTATAAATTGGAATCAAATAAATTATGGTCACCTGTAAATATTTCAGCTGTCACAATCAAAAAATAAACTTAAGTGAATGAAAAATGCACAATATTCATAGCTTGTAATAAAATACAACATAAGAAAAAAAAACAAAGAAAAATTAGCTTTCTTTCAATGTGTCATGAGTCTAAAATGCTCTTAAATGCTATGATGCACAAGTTTTATGAACTTGTGAGTGAAATAATTCATAAACAAACAAAAATTATATACCACAGATAAACATGACATATGTGTTCACACATATGTCATTATTTATAGCAATTTAAGTTTACTGAATTTTCAATTTCATATGCGATGATTCTTCGATATACTAACGTACACTAAATATACATCGAAATGCTTAAGGGTTAGGCACAATGTGATACTGTAATCCATATAAAGTGCGTGTGTCATTTGATAACTGGCCTCAACGTTTAAAGAATTGTAATAATAAAGGACGCTAATTTTATTAAACATTGCGTTTACTCATCCCTGTGGTTCTTTCTATTTTCATTTTATTTAACTTACTGTGTGATGTGATCTCAAGATTTTTCTAGCCGATACAAGTAAGAATCATAATTGACATCTAAATTTAAAAAACCCTGAATCAAGAACCGAATTAAATTTCATGTCGAGAATTTTATTGGTAGATAGGTGGTATCATTGTGGTATTGCGCTGTAAGTACATACATTTGTAGTTGTAGACTAAACCGTAATTTTGACGCCATTGTGTGGATTTGTAAGATATCCACACTGTTTAGTATAAATGTGTCTATGCACAAACAATGTTTAAGTACATAAAAGTAAAATAATATTTTTCGTTTTATGATTATAAATTTTCTAATTGAGGTGTATAAGTAGGGGAGGCCGGGCTGTAAGTTCCGATTTTTAAATAACATGGAATTATATGACGAAAATTATACGGTTTAATTTTGGTTCTTGAATCTATTACAGAATCTTAATCGGTATCTATAATAGTATAGTAATATCTGCCAGTATATGAATAGTTTTTTTCACAGAAGAGATAATAGAAATAATATTTGAGAATAATATATGTTTGTTTTTAATGTAACAGTTATTTTTAAAGTCAGATTTAGTGTGTATTAATTTAATGTTTTAAACTACAAATAAAACAACTACAAAACATTACTAGTTTCATCTTGATAAACATTTTGCACTGGTAACTAAAATGGAGATCTATTAGCTTATAAATCTTATTACCTACATGCTTAATAATCATTTAGGATTCAACAATTCTAACTAGAAAGGATACTCGAGATAAAAATTATTTAAAAACTAAAAAATATTCAGATAAATGTTTATTTGAAACTTTAATATAAATTCATCAAGTTAAAAATGTTATCAGATCTATAACTGCACTTATTTCAACTAAATAATACAACTAATATGTAACCTCCAGGCTGAAATTTTATTATTAACTATAATGATAAGTGAGATCACAACTTCAATTCTATTCAAATAACAAAACTGAACTTCTAACATCCAATTATTTTCATTTAGTGCTGTAATCGATGTAATATTAAATAAAAATAATTTTATTCTAGGCTATAAAATTATATTTATTTTAATAGAATTACAATGAAAACAAATCATCAGTCTTGTTTTAAACATAATTAACGTTGACATCTTTTATTCTAATTATTATTTAAATTGTTCATTTGGCTGCTAAATTGGGACACACTTAAGTAATATCAGCTTCATTTATATACTGGCCGCTTTTGTAGCCTATGGTAGGATCGTTACCAGCTATTTTATTTTAAGAACGTCGATGTAACGTGTGGCAAATTTGTAATTCTCTGGCGACCGTTTTAATTTTTCTTCCATCTTCTATGACAGCATTGGCAGCTTAGTGCAATCAAGATTTGGAGGTTCCCTCTTTCAGTTTTTCGTTTGTAGGTTCGTACGTTCGAGTATAATCCTAAAAATATAGAAAAGGTGTCTTAAAAATATGATAAATTTGAAGGTCAATTGGGGTGAGTTTAAATTAGGGCTACAAGTTCCATCCTAAAACAACCAGCTTTAGGATGGAACTTGTAGCCCTAATTTAAGTTACTGTATAAAAATTGTCATACTAGCAAATTAACGAAATCAATTGAAAAAACATTCAGATACTAAAATACTTAACTAATGCCACTCTCAAATAGGAAAGTTACAAATAAATCGATCAACAATAAATAAAAATAGATCAAAAAGATTATATACGAAAAAATTTACTCCCGTGGTGTTCTCGGAGTTCGTCGGAGCGACTTCACATGAGTTACTACCTCTTTCCTTTAAAAAGCTATAACTGTCGGAACAACATAACCCGGGAACTTTCAGTTGTATAAGAAGAGAAGTTTTTTTAAGCAAAATAACTCTAGAAGGACATTTCATATGCAAAGTCTTTCGAACCTTTCACGAACTTTATCTAAGTGAAAATTTTCACTTTTCTTAGAAGTTGTCTAGGAATAAAATTGAACAGCGTGGTTTCGAGTGTTCGTCTAGGAGCCGAAATTTAAACCTTCATGATTTTTCTGATAAAGGGATATCTTATGAGTGTTTACGAGAACAAACTTCATAATTTAGTAGACGCAGGCTGGCTTACCACACGTATCATTGTCGATATTCCACCTGTGGTATAATTACATAATTATTTAATCTATCACAATCTCTTAATCTGCCACCCTCTCAAAAGTACAGCAATTGTGATTGTGATTTATGGAATTACGTAACTTTTAAAGTCGCTATAAGAATAAAAATTTAGTCTTTCATTTTCTTTTCAAGTCTTTCATTTGACATTTCAATGATATTTGCATTTAGAATTGACGTCAAATGATGTCATTATCGTTTAATTAATATCTTTTAAAGAAAGTCACGATCACAATCGCTATCATATGTCAAATAGTTGTAGCGTGAAGTATATAATAATAATAATAATAATAATAATAATAATAATAATAATAATAATAATAATAATAATAATAATAATAATAATAATAATAATAATAATAATAAAGCGTAGGGATGTGACGACCCCATCGCCCACTGATGCGGCGAGTTTAGTGAGAGGATTTGCCGTATCAGTGCAATTAGTCCGCACCTAAAATGTTACTCATAGGCGAGAAGTGTTGGTCCGTGCTTCTTTTCCATCTGCCGTCATTGTGGGTGCAATCTATCTTAACGGACCCATCAGGGAATTGGGCGACCCCTGATGTATCAAGCCTATTGTACTATGATGAGTGGAGTAAATAGAGCGCGTATAGGGCCGCTGCCTGGGGGTCGCCAGGGCTCGCCCGGAGCTGGCGCCGGGCCGAGCAGAATGCGAGCCAGCCAACCCCGAGGGCCGGTACGACCATCTCGCCGGCCCACTCCACCATCACCACCAGCTAGCTTGGGTCCGGCAGGGTCTTCACAGACCCAGCAATCGGTCCCCGCCGCTGGTGGAGTACGCCGCATGAGGTGGACTACTCCACAAAACGAAAACATCATGCGCGCGTACTACAGGGCGACAGAGACAGGTGTCGGCGGGACGGGTTATCGGGCAAGATTGCTTGCTGCGTTTCATACCCTGGAGCCTTCGCTGTCCGTTACGGCGCAAAATTTGGCAGATCGAGTTCGCTTTATTCTTCGGAGAGAAATCTTTACTCCAGCAGAACTCGGTCAACTACGACTCGAGGTTGTGTCGTCTATGAGTCCCGGTAGCAGAAGGCGGAGCAGAAGGCGGAGTAGCATTGCGCGCAGCACCATATGCGACCCCAATGCTACAGTGGCCAGT